AACTTTGAAAAATTGTTTGCAATTAGTCTTTTTCTAATAAAAGATATCATGTTTGTGCTCTGAGGGTATTCCCACCATGAATGACATCCCGTCAGGAAATTAGAGTGTAATGATTGCCTGGTGGGTGGCATATCAGCTTGTTCAAATGTAAAGTGTGGGCTGAGATTGGGGCCTAGAGCCAAGGGACCACCACCCCGGCTCCCACTTGGCTTTGAGTTTCTGCACTTGGGAGTGCAGTGGTATGAGAGTTTTTGAAGAGTGACAATTTATGAAAACTTTAGAATAAATCAATGCAAAACATCAAATCACTTCATCTTAATTTATATTTAAGACCACCAAGAATTCAATAGCTTTAATATTTAGGGAAACAGGTGAGTTTTAGATGGTCTTTGTCTTTGTGGTTTAGTTAGGATTAGACACATGGATAGCTAACTTGAATCTAAAGCAGTCTGAAGACTTGAGTATAGAATTCCACACCAAAGGGCTGTATTGTCACAGAGAGAGTGTAAGTCATTTTGTATTTGTGGATATGAGGCAAAGACAGACTGTTTCATAGAGGAAGCAAGTTTTAAATTTAGCTTTTAAAAAATGAGTAGCATTTTGACAGGTGGACTAGCGAGTAGGTGGGTGAAAGCTAAAAAAAAAAAGAAAAGAAAGGAAATTGTAAAAAGGTGTGAAAATAGACACAGAAAAATAATCCAGAAATTAGTAACATTTTGGGTCCCAGTTCCAGAAACTTCTTTCCAGGCTTATGTAAGTACAGCCAGTGTTCTAAAAATTCATTGTTTTCATAGATGTCATTTGCTAGCAGAAAATATTTTTTGCACACTGATGAAATGTATTGCGCAAATCAAATAATGTAAAATATATATTTAAGTATTTCCATAAAACTGGAGTCAGTAAACTATAGTCATCAGGCCAAATTTTGCCCACTGCCTGTTTTTGTAAATAAAGTTTTATTGGAACACAGCCACACCCATTCATTTAGACATCTGTCCTGGTATGGTGCTGCAATGGTAGAGTTGTGTAGTTAATTGTAAGAGACCATCTGGCCTGCAAAACCTAATAGATTTACTCAGGGTCAGAATTAAGTGAAGTGAGTAATAGAACTAGGTGAGGTGAGCCCATAGAATGCAAAATTTAAGGAGGGATTCATTCACAGGGGCACCTGCGAGATTCCAGGGGTGAGACCTTCCTCAGATTTTGTGCCTTACATGCCTTGCTAGTCCTGGTCCTGTGCTTACTATCTGACTCTCTAGAGAAATAGGTGAGAGCCCTTGTTATAGAATATAAGGTTTTGTAGCAGATTATATTCTTAAATTATTTAGCAGTTTTCCTGGGACGAAATGAAGTCTATTCATTCTCCAATGGACAAAAAAAGACTGGGAAGTCATGGATTTAACATTCATTAATTTATGGTAATATATCACAGCAGGGCACCAGAATATGCCCACAATATGCCACTTAGTCATAAGGAGTTTTTTGAACTAAAGCCAGTAGGCATAGAAAAAGATCTTTATCCTCCCAACTGCCTAAAAATAAAGTACAAATTTCCCCTTTTATAAATTTACATTTCTAAAAGAGGAAATTTCCATTTGTAGAGACATCTTTGTTCCAGGAAGACAGACACCTCTTATCACCTGAGAGATACTAATCTGCATAAAGAGGCAGCCTTTATTTATGGTACATTTCCTCCCCTTTCCTTCCCATAACTTGCCTCCTTGCCCAGAAGCCCACACCTCTTTTCCTTTCTTTAGCCTAGATGGTATATAAGCCTCAATCAGCTAACTGCCTTCTGGAGCCACTTTTTTCCTTCCTTTGTAGGGTGTGGTGCATGCATGTATAATTAAAACTTTTTTCTCTTGTTGGTCTTTCTTTCTTCATTTTTTTTTTCAATTTGGTTTGCAGGTCCCAGCCATTGAACTTAGAAAAGTAGAGGTAAAGATTTTTCCTTCTCTACATCACTAAGTGGAAGCTCTACTTCTCTGTTTTGCAAAGTATCTTTGGGATTAGGACAGTTGATTGTAGCATGGATGGGTCAGTCAAATAAGATTAATTTGCTGGTCTTTTCCTTTTCTTCTTTATTTCCTCTGATACAAATTTCTTTTCTGTATATTTCTCCAAGTTGCTCAAATTATTAAAAACTTCTGGTTCTATGGGCAGACTGGTTCGTATTTATGTATTTTTACTCTGCATGCACTGAGTTCAATAAAATTCCTTCCATAAAATGAAAATGATATGAATTTAAAAAAATAAATTAACAGAACCAGACAATAGGAGATTGGCCAGAGTAAGGGAAGCCTCAAAAAGAATGTGAATGGCTCTCAGCCCTTCATCCTATGCTGATTTTTCATCCATGCCTGCAGACTCTGAAGAACACCCTGAATAGGTCCCAGTTTCTAGTGCTTCTAATGGAGGATTTTCCCTTAGGAATTCTATTATTGCTTCAGTGAGGGCAGTTCTTTCAGAGAAAACTGCCTTGGAATAATGTTTCATGTGAGTTTTTAATCCATCTTCTTGTTTCTCTTCCCATGTAAAAGAGTACAAGTTCTACAGTTTGAGGGCATTCCATCACTAGTGCTACAAATAAGGGGCAGACAGAGACCCAGAGAAGAGAATGCATTGTGAGACTTCTGAATTTCTTTTTTATAAGACTATACAGCAACTCAGTCAATAAATTAAAATTGCGGGTGTATTTTGAAACCTCATAAAGAGATATAAAATGTTATGTGAGAAAAAAAACGTTGTCAACATTAGATTCTAACTGAATAGTGCAAGTGGGAGGTAATGCAAAGATGCATTTGGAGTTTTCAAAGCATTCCAGAGTGAAAAGGCTTCTTTTTAACAGCTGTGTGAAAAAGTAAACACCAAGTGGAGATAAATAGAACAATTGTCTTAATTCTCCAGGTAAAGTTACGGATCATGTATTTTTAACAGATCTAATCGATAGGAACGACTAGAAATTTTTGGCATTCCACCTGCAGGAGTGGAAATTGAATACATAGCATTTACCAAAGATTAAAATAAAAAGCTTAGAAAGTGTGTTGAGTGACCATGTAGAAAGCAAAGAAGGCAAGACACAGAGAAACCAAAGGGTGGATGAGAATAATGATGTGCTTGGTGATGGGTACATTGTCTCCATTCACAGCATACTTCTTGCAATTTAGAAATCCTGCTAAACAGAGGACCCTAGAAATCCAAATGAGGGGCACAAATGGCTGGATATTGTTTACACATCCCATGTGCTTCAGGAAGACACCCACCCTTCCCATACTCTCCAGAGTCCCCCCACTCCGCACTCGATCAAATAGTACACAATAGGGTGCTCCTGTGGTGTTTAGCCTTTCCTCAAAAGGACCTGGCATAAATCTCAGTTGGAGACAGGATATCAGAATAAATAGGTCATTGTTCAGTTCCATTAGGGCAATTCTGGTGTTCCTGTTGCTTGACAAAGACACAAGTGACGGGAAGTAAGGTTGGTTCTTCCGCAGAGCTCACATCTTAGAGTCCAGTTGCTTCTTTTGAGTAGCTCCTCCGCTACAAACCCATCTGGGAAAAAGGTCTTGATAACGATGCCATGGGGAGATAGCTTTTTCTTTTATTCTATTTCTCCTGTTCACCATCTGTTATTAACTACTTAGTAGTTGCATTTGATAGGCCTTTAAAATTAGGGAAGCTAGCAAGCAGCCTCAGGTCTGGCTTGAGGAGGGTGTTTAAAGGTGGAGTGAGGAAGCCTTGATATCAGCACCAGACCTACAGAGCCACATCATGGGTTGATGCTATTTCTTCCTTTCATAGGAATGAGGGCACATCTTCACCACTCTTCTGTATGTGATTTTTATCTCGAAACCATCTGGATTTACAGATTTTGGAAAGGTGCCTATGCCAGTTTGCTCGGGCTGCCTTAACAAAGAACCATAGACTGGGCAGCTTCAATAGCAGAACTTAATTTCTTTACCGTCCAGAGGCTACAAGTCCAAGATCCAGGTGTGGTTTCCCCCCCGGGCTTGTAGATGGCCGTCTCCCCTCTGTGTCTGTATTTTAATTCCCTCCATAAGGACACTGGCCCTGCTGTATGAGGGCCTGCCCTCATGACCTCATTTAACCTTAATCACCTCATTAAAGTCTCTCTCCCCAAATACCATCACACTCTGAAGTGCTGGGATTAGGATTTCAAAATACGATTTTTGGGGGGATGCAGCTCAGCTCGTAACAATGTTTTTTTCACTTCTTACTAGCAGAAGATTCCTTCTCGGCTCATGATTAAACAAACACATGTCTGGTTTTTAAATCTCATCTGTGCTACTGAGGGTGTACCTCATACCAGGGAAAAGCCTTTCAATTGCCCAAGTTAACTTGGAGGACAGCAGTTGCTTTCCCCCTGAGCTGTAGGCTCTTAAGTGGAGTTTTTTCCAAGTTTTCTCAGAATGGGATAGAAGGCTGAAGGGTGGATCTGTGCGTCAAGCTCTGGTAAGAATAGACTATTTAAATTTAAAGAATGGAAAATGTCAGCAAATAGTATGCAGTCTTATGTGTACTTTACTTTTTTGACATAATTATTTTCTACTTTCTCCTGCCTATGTGACTTTTCCCCTTTGATCTTTGTTTTAGAGGCAATTGAAAAGATACGTAATTGTACTCATGTATTTTGTTATGTCACCTCAATCTAATTAAGGCAGCAACTTTTCTCAAAATGTGTTTCGCTGCTAATATTAAGTTTATCAAAATTTGCCTTCATTTTAATTATCACTCTTAGTATCCCTTGAATATGAGAAGGGATTTAGAATATCCCTTTCATAAGTACATATCAAATGTTTTTAATTTTCCATCAACCCTAAGAATATTATTTAAAAATGTTAAGCCCATAAATTTTAAAAGAATTTAGAATATAGACAACTGAAAGTGTAATATTATAGCAAACACATAACAGCAAGGTGTCTGAGGTACAGCTTCACTGGAGTTTAAGCCAGATCTATTGAAATTCTTATTCTTTCCTAAAAGCTTGCAGCTTGCTCTCTCCCAACGCTGGACTTAGTGTCTGGAGAAGTCACTTTTCACTCTGAGATTGACATGGCTTTGTGTAAGATCTGCCTGGATGAGAAACAGTGATACAGCTAAAACAAGTGAGTTAAGGAATGTGGGCCAATTATTTCCAGTTACTTGTTGAAATAGGGAAATCTCTTAAAAATATAAATGTGATGACTGCATAAAAATCAATGCCATGGGGTAGACAGCGCATTCTACTCTTCAAAACTCCTTTAAATATGCACTCATCTTTCCTCTCACAATTGCTTGGTGAGAGCAGATCATGTGTCCCCTGAATTCTAAGTCATGGGGGAAGGAGATCTCTCTGTATTTGATCTCCATTCGCAATGAGGGAACTGACACTCAGAAAAACAAGAAAATAATTTCCTCACCTATTAGTGAGAAAGCTCATTGAAAAGATTATGTTATGGTGACAGATCAAAAAATTTTTATTTGAATTCTCCTCCCTGTGTTTTGTATACTAGTCAAAGTTCATTTTGATGAATAATAGAAACCATTTAGTTAAACTTAAACAGAAAGGAATTTGTCAAATGGGAACTGGGTTATTCATAGAATTCACAGAATGATGAAGAGCCGAGCTCTGGCAGAAAGAGGGATACACTTATTTCAATCACACATGGCGCTGACGTGAGTTTTTATTGAGTTACCACAATAGACAGGTTGACTTGGGAAAAGTAAATAAATGCAGAGTTATAGAAATAGTTCCATTTTACAGATTTCCTAAAAAGTTCCTTTATTAGAGAATCAGTTTTGACCTGCTACTCTTTTGTCTACTTTCATAAATGTGTAACCCTTACATTGCGTCCAATATGGGGACACCTCAGGGTTATGCACAGATATACACAAAACTAGAATAATGCTAAATACATTTGTTCTTACAAATATAATGTTGGAAAGAATTCCCATAATTTCTATGTGAATTTTTCAATCTTAACCTGAATAATATATGTTTTCTTAAAAATGGGTGATACTTATCTTTGGACCAAACTATACCAAAAAGTTTTTGTGGGGATGGCTCTGTCTCTTGGCACTTTCTGCTCTTTTATTGACTAAATTATACTGAGTTAATTAGTCAGATAAGTGACTGGAAGAAAAGCATTTGAGAAATGGGATACAAGATAAGTACATTTTGAAGGATGAGAGGTAGTGAGTCAGTATAGTGGGTCAAATCTAGTAGGTTTCCCATAGTGTTGGGAAACATCTTTAAGCAATCATCAATCACTGTCATTTATGGAAAAAATCCCCAGCATTTTCCTTTGTTCTAAAGATAATCTGAAACCAATTTGGTTCAGAACCTGTGATGTCCAATACGGTAACTTTTAGCCATGGGTGGTTATTTAAATGTGTATTCAAATTAATTAAAACTTGAACAAAATAAAAAAATTTAGACGCTCATTATGTCAGCTGCATATTAAGTGCTCAGGAACCACAGGTGGCCCACGGGCTGCCACATGGGAAGTGTAGATATGGAACATTTCCAGCATATGGCCCTGGCATGGCATTAACTTAAGATATCTAATTATTAAGCGATTATAGGATCAACTTCATGCCCAAAGGCATGGCAGGAAATGTGATTTCACGAGAGGATAAATAAGTGCTAATGGAGGAGCTGGACAGTCACTGAAAACAGCCAAGACTGATTCACACTTGACCTTGACCGGGCCTGAGGTTTTATTAGACATGAACTTCTCTGCCCTTCCAGGATGCTCAGGACTGATCACAACACAGCCAGACTTCCCCAAATTAGTCATTTCCTTTTCCATTATTACCTGAACTCAACACTGAAGCCTCCACTGAAGCAATAGAGCTGTACTATTACTACCTTTCATACAAATCACTTATGGATATTTCTTTATGAGATGTCAATTCAGCCCATCTATAAGCTCTATAGACAATTCCCATTGAATATAGTCAAAAATATCAAGTAGGTATATTTTCCATATTCTCCAGAAGAAAATTCTTTCCATCAAACTCTGAACATCATTTGGGTTAACAGTTAATGTATTACTATAGCCTAGCATTTTTGTTTTAATGCTGAAATCTTTTAATCTTGTGTGTAGAGTAAATGGAAAATAGGGCATGGGATCCATGAGTCTTCCTTCATTTTGTTTGCTGTTCTAGCTCATTTGTCATGCATTGTCTAGCATGCATGCATTGTCTAGCATGATTTTCATATGTGACAACCATTAATATTACACTTTAATTGAATCTCACTTTTACTTTTTTTAAATCACTTTTACTGATTTTTAAAAACCTTCTGAATTAATTTGCCTTGGCATTCAAAGGTAGAATATTTTGGCTCTCATAGTAATTACATGTATAAGAGATGAAGTCATCTGCTGGTTTTAAGGGCTTTTAAATTGAAAATAATTTCCATATGGCTGAGTTAGGCATGATCTCCACACATAAAGATCCATACAGCTGAAATTACGTGTACATGCCTTTAGATAAAATGGAGAGATATGAAAATTTTACTACCACCAACATGAAAATTAGCAAGGGTATTTGTTCTAAAGATAATCTGAAACCAATTTGGTTCAGAACCTGTGATGTCCAATACGGTAACTTTTAGCCATGGGTGGTTATTTAAATGTGTATTCAAATTAATTAAAACTTGAACAAAATAAAAAAATTTAGACGCTCATTATGTCAGCTGCATATTAAGTGCTCAGGAACCACAGGTGGCCCAGGGGCTGCCACATGGGAAGTGTAGATATGGAACATTTCCAGCATATGGCCCTGGCATGGCATTAACTTAAGATATCTAATTATTAAGCGATTATAGGATCAACTTCATGCCCAAAGGCATGGCAGGAAATGTGATTTCACGAGAGGATAAATAAGTGCTAATGGAGGAGCTGGACAGTCACTGAAAACAGCCAAGACTGATTCACACTTGACCTTGACCGGGCCTGAGGTTTTATTAGACATGAACTTCTCTGCCCTTCCAGGATGCTCAGGACTGATCACAACACAGCCAGACTTCCCCAAATTAGTCATTTCCTTTTCCATTATTACCTGAACTCAACACTGAAGCCTCCACTGAAGCAATAGAGCTGTACTATTACTACCTTTCATACAAATCACTTATGGATATTTCTTTATGAGATGTCAATTCAGCCCATCTATAAGCTCTATAGACAATTCCCATTGAATATAGTCAAAAATATCAAGTAGGTATATTTTCCATATTCTCCAGAAGAAAATTCTTTCCATCAAACTCTGAACATCATTTGGGTTAACAGTTAATGTATTACTATAGCCTAGCATTTTTGTTTTAATGCTGAAATCTTTTAATCTTGTGTGTAGAGTAAATGGAAAATAGGGCATGGGATCCATGAGTCTTCCTTCATTTTGTTTGCTGTTCTAGCTCATTTGTCATGCATTGTCTAGCATGCATGCATTGTCTAGCATGATTTTCATATGTGACAACCATTAATATTACACTTTAATTGAATCTCACTTTTACTTTTTTTAAATCACTTTTACTGATTTTTAAAAACCTTCTGAATTAATTTGCCTTGGCATTCAAAGGTAGAATATTTTGGCTCTCATAGTAATTACATGTATAAGAGATGAAGTCATCTGCTGGTTTTAAGGGCTTTTAAATTGAAAATAATTTCCATATGGCTGAGTTAGGCATGATCTCCACACATAAAGATCCATACAGCTGAAATTACGTGTACATGCCTTTAGATAAAATGGAGAGATATGAAAATTTTACTACCACCAACATGAAAATTAGCAAGGGTGGATCACCTTTCCAGGATATCTGAAAGCAAATTTCTAATATGAAGACATTAACAATCAAGAGTTGGATTTAAAAGTAAAAAGAAAAACACCTAAAATGTATTAGCACTTACTATGTGCTAGATACCGTATTCAGTGCTTTATATATTATCAAATTAGGAGTTGGCAAGCTTTCTCTCTAAAAAACTGGATAGTAAATGTGTCAGACCGTGTGATCACACGGTCTTTGTCACAACTACTCAGATCTGCATTGTAGCACTGAAATAGCCAGAGACAACACTGAAAACATGCTGATGGTTGTATTTCAATGAGGTTTCATTTACAAGAACAGTTAGCACGCCCCGATTTGGGCCGCAGATTCCCAATCTTTAATGTTCCTTACAAACTAGTTCCTCCTTACATTGATGAATGAAACCACTCTCCAACCTTTCATCGAAACCAGAAATCAGGGGCCTCCTTGACTCTTCCTTTGGGCATGAAGTTGATCCTATAATCGCTTAATAATTAGATATCTTAAGTTAACACATTCCCTTGAAATAAAGACCACGTTTCTCCAGACTCATTTGTAGATGGGTAACCGTCACCATGTTCTGAGATCAAGTAAGAAGTAGGCAGAAGTCTCATGTGTGACTTCCAGGAAGTATTCGTAGCGGAGGGATGCACTGCCCTGTTTTTCCCTTTTTCTTTCCCTGATGCGTGGAGACGAGACAGGATGCCCACATCTGGAGGAGCCGTCCTGGATCTTAGAAGGGAATGTGCATGTCTGAGGATGGACAGCAGGATCCGATCGAGGAGTCTTGGTCATGGATGAGTTTGAGAATTTGCCTTACCAGCCTGCAGCCTGGGACTGGGCGCAAATGAATTTCATTTGTAAGGAAAAAAAAAAAACAACGAAAGGAAGAAAAAGAAACATACACATACCGAAACACACATGCACCCACACTTCTTTTTAAAGCCACTCTTACTGCTTTTTCTCTAACGTCAACAATTCTCTATCCACAAAAAATTCCTTCTGAAAAACAAATCTGACCATTTCCTTCTTCCCATTCAACTCTCCAGTGATTCTTGTTTGTCTCTGGGATGAAGTCCTAACTATTTAGCAAAGCATACAAGGCTGCTTCATTCTGACCTTATTTATGTTGACCAGACCTCCTCCATTGCGGATAGAACTAGTGACAATTAGGGTGGTATTTGCTCCTCCTGGGCTGGCTTCCTGTCAGATTTCCCAGTAAAGAATTCAGCTAGCTCTGTGTCTCAAGACATCATCGAGAGAGGAATTTAAATTAAAGCTAATAGTTATTAAACTGGTTTTATTGTCGAGGTTTGCAAGCTTTCTATAGATAAGCTCATTTAATGCTCAGAACAACTCTGTGAGATAAAATTATTGTCCACACTCTATAGAAAGAGACTGCGGTACAGAGAGGCTGAGTTGAATTTCCCAGGGTTACCTGCTAGTATAGTATTAGGGCCAGGGTTTAACTCCACGCAATCTAATGCCAGAAGCTGCTTAACTGCTGTGTGGAATGCTGCCTACTAGAGCTGTAGAAGCTTCATTCTGAGAGACCCCAAGGTTTTCCAGGGCTCTATCTTTCCTTCCCCTAACTGTTCTCAGAGGCAGAAGCCTGTGCAGTTCCCAACTTTCTCAGCATAACTTCAGTAACAGTGGGGGAGGGGAGCTGTTTTGTGATTAACTTCTTTGCTCCTAAGTCATTAGAAGTATGAGGTCATTTCTGGTTGACTCAGATATTTTACATAGTTCTAGGAAACATCCAGAACTAATTATAATGTACCTTTATAGTTCATACCTACTACAAAATGCAAGTTCATCTATAGTGTAGTAACACTGAGCTTCAATATATTTTCAGTTAACTTTTACTTTTCCAAGTTGAACTAAATCATGGCAACCAACATTTATTAGGAATTTCCTCATCTAATAGCAAAGTGTTAACTCATGCATTTCAACCGGGTGAAAGAGGGGGAATTTGTTTTGTGTAAACGCTCAGAAAACCAGAAATATTTTAATCAAATCTTGGGTTCTGTAACCTTCATATTATTTTTATGCCTAAGCAAGCAAGATTAGGGACAAAGGAAAGAGAATTAAGATTGGAGGACATTTTCTGAATTCCTTCCTCAATAATTCTTTGGAAATGCCCAGGGCCTCTTATTTTTTACTATGTCCACTGATGTGCCAAGTCACAGAATCTCATTAGACTAGTTCTTGGTGTCAAAAGTTGAAATTCTATCAATTAATTGTTTGCAGCATTACTAGAATTATTTCACACAGTGTTCTGTGCAAAAGCACTTAAAATATACTGGCAGGGGGTTGCTTCTTTGCTGTTAAGATATTTCAAGGGTATTTTAGATTTGTCCAGTGACCGTCTACTTGTTAATAATGTGAATACATTTAGTTATTTATATCTGGGCTTGTTCCAGAGAGGATTTAAGGTAACTTATTAAGATGTCTATGAAATAGCAAATAAATGAGAACAAAATGAAGTCAGGAAAGTCCAGTGAAAGCAGAGATGAGTCAGGACACAAAAATCACACGATGAAGTCATGCATATTTGCCAGAGGTGTGCCCACAACTTGATTCTAAGTTTCTGCAAACCAACAACAAGAAGAAGGAAACAATACAGGCGGGTGATTCATGTTGTTTATAATATTAAAACTGTTTGGCTGCTGAAGAACAATGATTGATTCTGAGATGAGAATTTTCTCCCATGTGTCTTTCTAGAGAGGATACCACGTAATGTCATAAACATCACGTCAATGGTGAATGTAGACACGCGTTGTATAGAGGAGTTTCATGCAATACGCTATAGTTTTGGCTTCTGGCATCTGCCCAAAGCACAATTAAGTAACAGAAGAGTTGCCAGGATGAAAGTGATGGACCACAAACCCATGACTCCCTCATGATCTGGTTCAAGCTAGGGCAGATTAGAGAATTTATAATAATAGTTCACCAACATTTATATCCGTAAGAACCACAAAACACAGAAGATGGATGGTTGTGCTCCTTCCCTAGGTATTTGGGTTTAATTAATCTGGAATGGGACCCGCCAGTCACTATTTTTAACTCTCCCCTCTCCTCTCTTGCCATGATGTCAGTGTAGAAGGTAGATACACCACGGCAGAAGGAACAGGGACCAAAAGTAACCAGCAGCATTGGTGTGAATTAATGAAAATCTGGGGACATCAGCAAGAAACCATTTCACTTTGAGAGTAACTTCCCTGTAACAACCCTTTGTGGAGTAATGTTAATGCAGACTTAGTGGGCTTCTCTACTATAGAGGGTGTTCTGCTAGAAAATAAGCTTCTGTTTTTTCTCTTCGCAAAGTAAAAATGCCTGATGCATCAACATATGGAGGGGGATGGGAAATCACTCAGGATTAGTGAGTGCCGATTTCTTGCAGGTGATATTCCTTAGATGTGTAGGTGTGGAAAGAGGTCTTTTTGTAATTTCTTCTATGGGATCATGAGCACTTTTCAGAAAATTGTGGCCTAATGGAGTGGATTGTGTGGTGTGGCATCCGGATTCCCACTTCAGGACGGAGGCATTTGATTACCTAGCTGCCAGGAGTGTTCCGTTCTGATTGCTTATGATGAATCTCTCTGCAAGGGTTGTCCTTGTTGTAAATTAGCTCTAATAATATTTGTGCTTATTATTTAAATAACTATTTGCATAAAAATATACTATGTGATCTATGTTATATATAATATGTAGATATGTATAATATATATCAATCAAGCACGCACCCTTGGGGCAGGCAGCATCCCATGGCTAGCTGGGGAGGACATTCAGGGACTGGACAATGCTGAGGGCCTTGCAGCCCCACAGCATCCTTCAGGATTGGCTGAGGGCTTTGTTGGACTTCCGCCACAGTTCAGCTTCTTCCTCCTCCAGCCCTTTGCTCATCACCCCCTACACACATGTGGGTCCTTAGGTAGGTCTCCTGAAACTTCCTACCAACACATCTTCTCAGAATCTATTTCCTGGAAAACCTGACCTAGGACATGTGGGTACAAATCTTTCAGTCTTCACCTCACTGACATTATCCACACTACTTTGCAATTTAATTTTAGTTACCCACCCACCACTCCTTTCCGTATGGTTCTTTTTGTTTTTCTTCTGTGCTGTCCTTGATATTTAAAGGTTCCCTCCTGTGGGTTTCTTTTCTCTGTCCTCACCAGTATTATTAGGATGTATTGGCTTTTTTCTCCATTCTCTTTCTCCGTAAGCCAAAATGCACACATGCAAAGGCAAAGCATGAGGTTTCTGTGATCCAAGGCCTTTGAGAAATTCTGACTTAAACAGGTAGAAGTTATTACAGGAGTTCTCAGTTTAAAATGTTTCCACAACATACAATTAATCATTTCAAAGTGTACAATTTAATGGCATTTAGTACATTTACAATGTTGTACAAACACCACCTCTATCTAGTTCCACATCTCTAAGAGGAAATCCTGCACCTATTTCACAGTTACCTCCCATTACCCTTCCTCCCAGCTCCTCGCAACCACTGATCTGCTTTTTGTCTCTACAGATTTACCTAGTCTGGATATTTCAAATAAATGTTATCATATAGCATAATATGTGGCCTTCTTTCTGTGTCTGACCTCTTTCATTTAGCACTGTGTTTTGAGGCTTAAGCCCATTACAGCATGTATCTGTACATCATTCCTTTTTCATGGCCAACTGATATTCCTTTGTAAGGATTTTCCATTTGTTTATCTGTTCATCAGCTGTGGACACAGGCAGTTTTCATCTTTTGGTTATTGTGAATAGCATTGAATGGTGAATATTTGTGTACAAATTTTTGTTTGAATACCTATTTTCATTTCTTCTAGGTGCATACCATGGAGTGGACTTGATACATCAGGTGATAATCCTGTTTAATTTTTTGAGGAACCCAAGCCCTTTTTAAAAAGCATAATGGTGCTAGTGTACTCAGGAATCATACACTTTGAAAAGCTTTCTGTACTAATTAATGTTAAGATGTTAGTGGTTAATTATGAGTTAATGTGTTTTGACCTTTAGAATTATTTGATGCTTCAGGAAACTTTAATGGAAAGCCTTGAATTTGCAGTTATGGACTCTCAGGGTCCAGATCTACAAGGTGGAGATATTTATGAGAAAAGATGTCTTTTAGCAGTCCTGATCACATCACGTCATGCTGTGGGCTCCTTATTCCTCTTAGGTTTTGTAATACTTTTCCCTTAAGGAATTAAGGGGATATTAATGGTCACTTGAAGACAATGTAAATTTCATCTGTATTGTAAATACTTGTGGGTGCTCTATTGAATATGGGTTGACTGTTCTGATGTGACTAATTCAGCCTGAAAGTAGTTATGAAAACCAAATGGAAATAAAAGAATAAGAAATTTAATATAAGTTGTTCCATTTTTGAACTCTTAATTTGTCTTTGTCTTACCCTTATTCTGAAAAAAATTTTAGAGGGGGAGAAAACAATTTTGGTTTTATATTTTTCTGTTGTGCTTAGATATTGATAAAAGTACATTTCTTTAAGTCTTGTGAGTACTTTGGGAAACCAAAATATAAATCTTGCCATGATACACAAAAATTAGCTCTAATAATATTTGTGCTTATTATTTAAATAACTATTTGCATAAACATATACTATGTGATATATTTTATATATAACATGTAGGTATGTATAATATATATAACATGTATACATTACATGTAATATACTGTATATTGCATATAATATATGTAATATGTATACATTACATGTAATATACTGTATATTGCATATAATATATAATATGTATACATTACATGTAATATACTGTATATTGCATATGGTATTTTCATATATACATATTTGGATCTAATATATGGTATATATTTTATTTGTAAATATATCTTTTTAAATCTCAAGGAATAATTTTGCTCATTTAGAGGTCAGGCAGAAACAACTTGACTCCATTGTGATGTAGCATTATGTACCTTATAAATCCTGGTCTGTGTATGAATCTCATCAAGTGTTGCATTTTTATGGCAGACCAGACAGATATGGAAGATTTCTTATTCTACTTTGAACATACAGAAATTCTGAATAAATACTTTTTTCCCTAAAGGTAAATGGTCAGTGCATGTGACTCTTTCAACCACATAATCAAAACAAAGAATGGCAAATCTCCAGGTACCAGAACTGAAGAGAGATGTCAAAGGTAGAGTGTGAGAGGGAGTGGAGGCCTTGAAGCCATGTGCCTTTACGGGATGGTGTTCTCATGTCCTCACGGGAACAGGGGTCAGGTGTTATGATCAGGAAATGACTTTGAAAGTACTGATGAACTGGGCTTAGAAACACTCTGCCCCACACTGATACATAGCACTGGTTTGTGATTCCTTCATTTGTACAGCCATACTTTGCAAATGTGTCTTAAATATTTTATCTAACATTTACAGGTATTGTATATTGGAAATTTTTCCCACGATGTTCTAGGGTATTAATACACATTTGAAACAGCAGTAACAGCAAATATAAATGCATTAAACTTTCCTACTAGAAGACCAAGATTGTCACATTGCATAAATACACACAATTTATTGTGAATCAACTACATCTATATATCAACATGGATAGTTCTTCCTATCATGTTATTAACATGTGAGCCAATCACAGCTCCAGGCATCAACGTGAATCACTCTAAAACAGAATGCATTCTGTATAACTTCATTTAGGTAATGTGAAAAGGCAAGTAGAAGTAATTAACATATTTGTAGAAATCTAGTCATATGTGATGCAAGGTTTAAGAGAAGTAGTAGAATTTCCAAGGTAGTTGTTTTATCTGGGGGAAAGGAGAGGGATCAGAAATCAGTTAGTGGCACATAGGGAGCTTTTAACAGCTGGAAATATTCAGTAAGTTGAATTGTAGGCAGGTGGATGGTCATTTCACTGATTTTCTTTAATTTTACTATTATGTATAACACATAATCCAAATTTTAAAAAAGGGTAAAAAAAAGCCGATTACAGATTGATACGCACGGTATGATGCCATTTATATAAATTTTAATTGCACAGCATTCACTTTACATTTTTATTGGGTAAATAGATATGTTAGAAAAATATTTAAAAATACTGCAAAGATCAATGACAAACTCATGATAGTGGCTGTTTTAGAAAAGAGGTTTTGGAAATAAGAATACAAAGGGGACTTTAATAGTTTCTGTAACATTTAACTTTCCTTAAATCAAAAACAAAAATTGAAAGACGAAGTCAGAGTAAAAAATTCGCGTAATGGTGAAATAATGATGAGCCCTCAAAACAGTCATTGCTGTGGTGTAATTCCTTTGAATGACAGTTTAGAAAGTAGTTGGATCATCAAATTATGCCTCAAGGTTAATTTTCTATAATATATCAGACTCCATATTGCCAGAGCAGCCTACATCTAAAAAGACTGCATTTCCGGAGGAGGCCAAATTGAGAGGATAAATTATCCCTCACAATTTGGGATATAAATAAATAATCAGAGCAGATATTTAGCCAGTGTGCATGGCAATGTGCAGATGAGCAGACCATGGAAGGTCACTTTTTGTTACTTGGGCAATAAGCCAGCAATGTCTGCTCCACGCCCTTCTCCCAGAGGGAGGGCCTGAACCCAAGCTCAGATTCCTTGGGCACCAGGGACTTCCTCCCCTGCACAGGTGGAACACAGCATCCCATTGTTCCCAAGATTTCCAGGTTCTGGACAGTGAACATTCCCACTTTAAGCCTGGCTTCCAGAAGCCTGTGTGTTCCCCATGGACCAAATTACTTTCACAGCAGCTTGTCTACACTGCAGAGACCCACAGGCAGAAGAGATTCGTGCACTGAATGCAGACTCCCCATGTTTTGGGTCCTGCTGTGCCCTGGTCTAGGCCAGTCTCCACCTACAGGATAATGTGAGGGTTAAGTGAACCCCAGCTGACATGATCCTGGGTCAACTTTCCAAGTCATAACTAATCCTTAGCCTCTGTTGTACTTGTAGAATGTGGCTCAAACTCTATAATGTAGCATCTGGAGACTTGGATGTTCCCCAGTTTGCATAATACAGAGAGGCACTGAGAGAGTAGACATAACCTATAAACATACCATGTAGTTTCAGTTTGTGAAAAAATACAGGGAATTAGCAAAACAAGGAAAATGTTAGCATTTGGGCAGTATGCTTCAAAGAGAAATAAAATATTATTTGATGTTGATGATAGAACAGCAGCCCTCATGACCTGGTCATTTTGCTTCTCTGCAGTGTTTCCATTTGCAGCCTATACTTTATTGTCTCTGTCATTCCCCTGACTCCCTCTGGTTTGGCTGTGACTGCTTGTGCTTCTCTACAGGGATCTCAGGCTCAGAACTCTTAGGAACAGGATCAATTAATTCCCATACAGTTAAAATCCTACTGGGAGGTGTTCTCTTAGCTCAGCAGTGGTGGATTCTCCAAGATTGATTTGTAGTCTAAATAACTATTGTTAGGCTCATATGAACTCAAATATATCAATTTTCACACAAGGGGTAAGACTGGTTTCCCAGTCAAATCAATGGGTGTGGCAGCTCCTTTTAGTGCCCTGCATTCTGTTCCCGTATAGGCAGTGTGACAGTTACGATGCCATGTTATCCAAACTAGGATTCATATGAGAATGAAAGGAGGGAGAAACTGATAACTCTAGTGAAGGGATAAACCAGCATTGTTCTGGCCAAACCAGAATGTACATCTCCTAATTAGAGAAAAAAACTAATAAATAGCTGATTAAGATTGAAGCTATAAACTGGTAGTGAGCCTGGAGTTAGCCATACTTTCTCCGTAAGCTGCATTTTCCTTATATAAATGTGGGCATATGGTTTCCTAGACTGTTCTATGATTCTCACATTTCTCTTCCTTTTTGTAATTATTTCTTCAGTATCTGGCTTCCTTGCTAGGAGCATGAGGGCAGGGTTTTGTCTGCTTTTTTTCCACTGCATGTCTTTGTATTTATCGTAGTGGCTGGCATATAGTTGGCACTCAGTCACCCTTCCTTGGATGAGAGGAAAATAAGTACACACCCAAGCATATCAGGCCATGCAAATATCTGCCTTCTCAGCTAGAAGATTCTGGAGAAAGTCATTCCACACCTTGCTTGCTAATATTGACAGCAGTATAAGTAGATGTTTATGCCATCCAGTCAATGTTTGGAAGAGATACTTTCTCCAACTAATTATGTGAGTTAGTTGTAAATGTTGAGATCAATAATTTCCCTACATTAGCTTGAATAGCACACACACACACACTCACACACACACAGCTTAATCTACACAAATAGGAAATGAGGAGGCCTTGTTTACTAGGTAGGTTAAATCTTGTAGATGCACTCATTTGTCAACTCACTCATCAAATGTTTAGTGCCTACTGTGTGTCCAGGGGCCTTTATAGGTATTGAGGATACATAGACAATACAAAAGAAACACAATTCCTATGAACATAGGGAGAAAGAAACAACAAAAATAGTAAACTAACAAAAATTGATACATACAATTTCTGTATCAAGACAGTGTTTTCAAGAAAAAATACGGCAGATTATAGAGAGCAAAAGGGTTGGGTATGAAAAAAGGCCCTTTGAGAATGTAACATTTAACTCAAAACTTTAGGGATAAGAACTGAGCTATGTAAATAACTGCAGGAAGAAAATTCCAAGGAGAGGAACAGCACGTGCAAAGGCCCTGCAATAAGCGGTGCTGGGGTATGCAGGGCACTGTAAGGAAGTGTGGTCAGAGTAGAGCAAGAAGAGCACAGTGTCAGGAGATGAAATCAGAGAAGAAGGCAGATACCAGATCAAGTAGAAGATTATGCAACAGAGTGTGCATTGTATCCTGAGAGGATCACATGATTCCATTTAAATTTTAAAATAATACCTTTGTTGGGTGGAGGGATGATAGGCTTAGGGAGACAAGAGAGGAAGACGGAGCAAGCTGGGAGTTGATTGCAATAACCTCTGCAAGAGTGATAGAGAGGCAACTGGCTTTGGGATGCATTGTGAAGGTGGAGCAGACAGATTTGCTGATGGAGTGGATGTGAGATGATAGAAAAATAGACAATGAAGGTGATTCCTAGGGTTTTGCCCTAAACCCCTGAAAGAATAAAGATATGGTGATGCTGCTTGAAATCATAGGGGAATGGGAAGAGGCATGAGCTTGGAGATAGGACTGAGTGGGCATCAAGAGTGTGTCTTGACATGTTGAGTTTTAGATGCTGGTAAATACCTGAGTGGAGATGTCAGGTTGGCTATTAGTTGTACCAATATAGATTTTGCAGGAAAGAACAGCTCTGGTGATGTAATTTTGGTATTCATTAGGCTAAAGAGGCTAACTAAAGCATGGGATCGCATAGAGTTACCTGAGGTAAGAATAAGAAAGTAAAGAGAGAGGGCGAAGCAGTGAGACTTGAGGTTGAGGTCAGGAAGAGGGGGACAGATGAAGAGCTTCTATTTTATGAGTGTGTCTGGGAGAAAGGAGCAAAGCAAGAGAGAAGGGTGTCCTGGGCACCAGGGGAAAACAAACATTTGAAGGAGGAGGAACCAGGGGTCAGTTGTGCCAAATGCTTTTACTTTTTCTGAACTCCATCACTTTTTAACTTCAGTTTGACACTGAAGGTGTACTGAATGGCAACATATACTTCCAAGGCTAGACTTTGCTGTGCAAATAAGTCAAGGGTGTTTTCCTCTGTTCAGAGAAGAGAGGAATCATGATACCTTTTTTTCTCCACCTACTTAAATAATATGTGAAGAGACATTTCCCTCAATTGCAACCAATGAGCAAAGAGTATAGTAAGCCTAGAAGGAAGCTGTGGATCAGTAGAATTGACAGAAGAAAGCTAACATTGATACAGATGTTCCAACTGTATATGATTTTCTGAGCAGCTGCAAAGCACCTTCCTTGCATTCTTCACTCTTTAATTTATAGTAGAGCTTTTATTTTCTCGTCCAGAGTCCTACCTAGAATAGTAGGAAAAATTGTCCTTTTCTAGGCAAGAAAAAGGTTGATATGCCTAATTTGGCATGCTTTCTGCAGGCTCACATCATTCTGTGTTTGTTTTGGAGCTAGATGAATTGAATGCCAAGGGTCAGTGTCTGTCATTTGACCTGAGGAAATATAGTAAGTTTTCTGGGTTTTGTTTCCCATTTTCCATAGAAAGGAAAAGATGACAATATATTTGCCTAT